TTTTTTTTTGTTAAAAAGAGGTATAGATAGGAATTGTTGGTAAGGGAAGACTGGGAGCCCCTGAGTGTTTTGAAAGCTCAAGTTAAGTTTCTGCCTTCATTCTGGCTCCTAGGCCAGGGCTTTATGAGAAAGCTGGTAGTGTGTGGTGGCTGATGTCCCGAGGTTTCTCTCCTTGTTTCCCCTCATGGATAGTGAGGACCCGCAACACCTGAGCCCTGCCTCCCTCTTCAGCCCCCTGGCCTGCCACCCCTCCAGAGCTGAGGGCTGGCTGGCAGGTCCAGTGGATGCCACAGTCCCACCCATTTGTCCCAGCAGCAATACCTTTTCCTCCTCTCTTTCCAGAATTCCTATTGGTCCTTTAAGGGTTCAGTCCAAAAGTCACAAATACGCTAATTATTTACTTACATACACACGTCACTTCTCTTCAGATTCTGATTCCCCTTACCCCCGGGCAGAAATGTCTCATTTACTTTCTATGTCTAGCCCAGCATATAACAAAAATTTAATAACATTTTTACTAGTCAGAAAGACATGCACAGAAACTTTTGAGTAAACACATACTCTATTTGAACTACCCAGAGAGCTACACTGTTTACCTTGCCTCACAGAATGCTGATTTCATCTTGTGGCGAGAAAACCATTTTTCCTAGGATGTTAAGACAAGAGTTTTTACAAAGATTGCTCAGGCCAGTGTCCTTTGTCTCCTGAGTTCCCCCCTGGCCAGGGTCGAGGTACCCGGTAGACACATGTTTGGGACACGTGCAGGGTGTGGGGACAGGTGGGGAGCTTTCTGAACCGCTGGTGAGTCACAGACTCCCCGACAGCATTTTCCCTGGGAAACTTGAGAACCAAGTGATGTCTCTGAAGACTTCACTTTTTTTCCTTTTAGTCTCTAGAATTCCTCTTCCTTTTCTCTCATTTGCCTCAACACTCACTTATAACTTAGGCCTTACCAGAGGCCTCTGGTTTTGTTTTTTAAGATTTTTACAAATATTTGGTTTATTTTAATAAAGCTGGTACAGACATGGCCACTGAAAACCCATATCCTAGGCCAAAAAGTGGAAATAAAATTAAAAGAGCGTGTTCTGCCGCACACACTTCTGCACGAGCAACTATTAACTGCTAACGAAAACGGGCACTCCTCCGGGGGGTTCTCCCGAAGCGCCCTTGGAGTTCCTCTGCACAGTCGCCTCGCCTGCCATCCTGACTCCAACCGGGCACCCCTCTTCCCTGGCGCAGACCTTCAGATTTGAAAAGCGCTCACGTTGAGGACAGTCGCTTTCCACAGCTCAGTTCTCTGAAAACTCCGGCCTCCGGCTGACAGTCGAGTGGGGGGTGGGGGGGAAGCATCCGTGTGCTGGGCGTCCAGCCGTCGGAGGTCTGTGCGCACACTCGCAGTGGCCACCTGATTGCCACAGCCTGAAAGGACAGTCCTGGGAAAGGCGGCGCTTGCAAAAGGAGGGGCCGTGGGAAGGGGGCTGGGCTGGACCACCCCAGTCAGCACAGTGAAAACACAGCGATGCACAGTGGGCACTGGAACCCAAACGACCAGGTGTTTCAAAGAGAGGGGTCAGTTTTCTAGTCCATTTTGAACATCTCATCACAAAAGAACTATTTTTAAAAATAAAAAAGGATTGAGGGAAAATAAAATAAAATAAAAAGAATGTCTAAAGGGTTGAAGGGCCGTGCTCATCCCCGACGAACTCGCTCGTGTCTTCTGCCCGCCTTCCGGGCTCTTCTGGAGCGCGACCCTCAGCAGCCCCCTGACCTTCAGGAGCAGCCCGAGTGAAGTCGCTGGCACGCCCCGCCTTGGGCGGTGCGGTGGGGTTTCCTGAGCTGTGCTGTCATTTCCACTTTGAAGTGAATCTCACTGCTGTGCTGTCCGGTGACTTTGAGTTTAATGTACCTTCTTTCCTTCTTGCCCCCCAAGTCCTCAGGTGGAGCCTTTGCCTCCTTGTCAGACAGGGTGATGGTGGCTTCACTGGGCCTCCACACAGCGGCCTCGGGGGCAGAACCTGCCAGAGCCTCCAGCTGTGATCACAGTCCTGCGGACTGGCATCTGGGGACTCTTAGGGGCAAACACCCGTTTATTTATTTATTTATATTTATTTATTTAAAATATTACAAATGTCCCTTTATCTCCCCAATGACCCTTTCCACCCTGTCCCTTCCCCCTCCCCAGTCCCTCTCCCTACCATTGTC